TTCCTGCTTCCAGCTATACTGCATTCTATTCCCCTAAATCTGCTATGAAGCACTTAATGACTATGTGATTTGCACTTAACATCATTGGTGCTGCTCCCTATGTGAATCACTTCCTCTGTCACTGAAAAGTATTCACTGACATTGATTACTTGCTAATGGTGCAATAGATGGTGCGTTAGTCAGTATGTTATCAATTATATATATTGGCATTTGGCCAAGACACTATTCCAAACATCTGTTTTACAGCAATACAAAACAGGGATTTGTAATGTCAGGGACTGAGGATGTGGGTTAGGAATCTCACCTGAAAACACTAGAAAGGAAGTGCAAGCTGAAGAAATTATAAAGGAATTTTAATTATTTGCCTAGAAGTTTAGAGAATGATGTACTGATTCCCTTCTGTAAGAAGTCTACTTGCCAGTCTTGGGTCACATATAGCAGTAAGGTTTGCTCACACCAACTCTGTAAAGGTTGTCTATAAATGATGTAAACATGGATTGACTACCTCTCTTTGTCCTAGGCTTTACAACATGTGAAACCAATAGATGACTGCAGAACTGGAAAAGCACCAGAAAACCAGCATAAAAACAGATACCGAGATATTCTTCCATGTAAGTATGTACACTAATGAGATCAGATGTTCAGTGAACATCAGAAAACAGAAAAACAGTCCTAACACTGATATGTAGGAGGTGCAAATCTCACCAGACCCTTAGTCACAGAGACATCCACTACTAATGAAACGTATTGAGATTTTTCCAGAAAAGATAGAGTTCATGTAAGGATATCTGCAGTGCACAATGTGTAATTTTCTCAAGTATTGTATTCCACAAGGCAAGACTAGGGCCAGCTGTCGTGGTGTTTCCTTCCCTCTTTCTCAATGAGATTGATCTACATTTCTGTGGGCAAGTGGCTTCGTAACATCAGTATCCAGTGACAATGTTTCCATACCATAAATTGAAGGTAGTTGTTGGATAGACTGAGTTGCTGCCTAACAATTCTGTGGTAATTAGAAGGCCTGTCAGAGTGTCACACAACTATCTTAAGAGAAATAAAGCTGCTGTGAATTATACAATTTACATGTGGGAATTCCTAGTAGTAGGGATTAATACTAGTGATACTACCCAGAAGTGTTCTAAAATCCAGAGGCATACGTTGCTGCTAGAGGCTGAGGTTCCCTGTACACTGAGTACTAGAGATGGTAGAACTCTGTTTCAGATTGACAACTGAAATAGCAACTTTCTGTTTCTGTCCAGATGATAAAACACGAGTTCCTTTGGGTGAAAAGAATGGCTACATTAATGCAAGCTACATTAGAATGAAAGTTGGAGAAGAGGAGCATTTCTATATTATAACCCAAGGACCTCTGCCATCCACTATGGTTGATTTCTGGCAAATGGTCTGGGAGAATGAATCAAATGTGATTGCCATGATGACAAAAGAAGTGGAGCTAGGCCAAGTCAAATGTCATCAATACTGGCCTGAACCTCCCCATGACTCTATAGACCTGGCTAATTTCCACCTCAGATTAGACAATTACCAGATTCTGGAACACTTCATAATTAGAACAATAGAAATTATCAACAAGCAGGTAAGTTGAGTATACTTCATACTGTCATATATGCTTAAATTGATTCGATATTTTGTGTAAGTAAATGTTAGTGTTATTGTTTAGTTCTTCAGAAATATTTGCTCAGTATTTTTTTTGTAAAGTAAAAATCTGAATAACAGACATGAAATTAGGGTTAATGAAATGCTTCTTCTTTGCTCATTACACAAGTAATGGATCCAATATTACATGTATTTGGACAAGATAAAAAAAATAATCCTTCAATAGTAACAGAGCTGTCATGTTCAATATTATGTACTATTGCTTCATGTTTTCATCAAAACAGTAAGGGCTGCCAGAGTGTTCTGTAATGGTGATTGGAATGATAGAGGGTTGTCGTGAGCTGATGCCAGTGGGCTACCCCCCCCACAAGGAGGAAAAGGTGGTTTTCATCCTAGAATTTAGAACAAATTATACTCCTTTTATTCCTGAAAAGATATGAATGCTCATGAAACTACAAATCTAGCAGCACTTTTTTAGAAATCCACCAAATACAAAAATGTAAGAACATGGAAACCAGGGCAATTATAAGTCCATCAGTCTTGCCTCAATGTTAAGTAAAGCTTTGCAAAAATTTCTGCAGGACATATGGAATAATTGAATAATAATGGAATAATTAAGATATTTGTACTTGTGCCAGACTAACTTGGTGTCTTTTTCCATCAAGAAAACAAATTTTCTATATAAAGAAAACACAATTTGTCTTATGTCACTGAGTATGAAGCATAGTAAAGCATTTTATATGAATCTTCAAAAAATATTATTAAGATGGCAAGATAGGCCATTTCATGTTATTGTTTCAATGGCTATGTTATGTTTGCTGTGCTTCTCTTGGACTAAAATCAAATTACTACAGAAAGCCACAGCTTTACTTAAGCAGAAATCTAGACATGAATTCAAAATCTTCTGATGTTAAAAATCCAGGGAGTTTTTTTGCATTCAGCTTAAGATGTTTAGGCAAGGTGACAACAAGAACTAATGTCCCATGACCATTCCATTAATTATATTTTTTAGCTTATCTGTAAGTATTTTTTGGTTGATTTGGTTTGCATGTTAGGGTATCTAATCACAAACTGTTCTTTTATATCAGATAGCCAGAATAGCATTTGCAAGATTAATATTGTGGCTATTATATTACTCCTCTTCTATTGGTGTGACTTAATTCACTTACAGAAACAATTTTAGTAACCAGTACTGGAATGTTATAATGTAACAAACGTTTTTGTTTTCCCTTCTAACCAATAAATAACTATAACCTTTTGGGGCAAGAGAGTAACTTTGGTGTCTCATCAAAATCATGCGAACAGTATTTCCTAGATCTGTGTGCTTAGTGCATTTCTCAGTCATTTCCGAGTACATTTTTGAAAACCTAAAATAAAATTTCATAGGGTCAAATATGAAGAGCTGAAGAGTTTTAGGGATGACTAGAATGAGGCTGAAGGAAAATTTATCAGCAAAATTTCAAGAAATTCCTTCCTTTCAAGGAAATCTTGGATAATTTTTAACATTTCTGGTCTTTCTCTTCCAGACAGAAGAGAAGCGCATTATAAGTCATTTGCAGTTTACCACTTGGCCAGACCACAGTGCTCCCAAACTGGCTGAACAGCTTGTAAAATTTATTTGTTGCATGAGAAAAGCTCACAGTACAGGACCTATTGTTGCCCACTGCAGCACTGGCATTGGGAGAAGTGGAGTTTTGCTGTGTGTTGAGCTTCTGCTCACCTATATAGAAAAAGATCTATGTGTAAGTATCAATCAGATCATTGTTAAATACTACAGACTGGTATGGGTGTCAACAACATGTGAGGTGTCACCGTTTGACTCAGGTTCGACAACAATGCTCTTGATCCCCTCCCCCCCAACCCAGGTAGGGAAGGAGAGAGAGAAAAAAAGAGAGAGACTTGGCTGGATTGAAAACTAAACTACACAGCTTTAATTAAAACACTAATGAATCATACAAGAAAATATATACAATTATATACAGATAGATTCAGGTATGGGCAAAAGCCTCTCGCCTCCCCCCACCCCAGCAACTCCCACAGCACTTCCCTGAACTGGGAAGAGTCCCGAGGAATCCCGGAGCTGCTGCTGGAGAAAGAGCAGAGAGTTATGGGGGTCAGGAGATCTCGAGCCTAAGGGTCGACGGTAATGGATGAACAGAGTCCTCCCTGGACGCCGGCCATGGACGGAAGAGAAGGGAAGAAAAAGGAAGGAAGTTGTCTTCTGTGATCTCTGACCTTCCTTTGAGCTTACGTAGATATATGGAATGGAATATCTTTGGCCAATTTTGCTGTCCATCTAACTCAGCCTCCTACGGAGGGGTCACAGATCTCCCCATAGTGTCTGAGCCGGCAGAGTGCAGGTGCGGCCTTGAAGCCTCAGTAGTTAGAAAAACATTCCACTGTCTTATCAGCCTAGCAGAACACGCTGTTGCTAGTTACAAGAAAGCTTACTGAAGGAAAAAAAAATCAGTAAAAAGAAAAATTGGCTTCATCCTGGCTCAAACCAGGACATGAGAGTATCTTAGAGGAGAGTAATTTCTGGTAAAATTCATCCCCCTCAAATGGAATAAAACAGCTTTTGTTGTTTTAGCCAACAAATATACTGTTTGTAAAATAACTGAGCCTCAGCTTCCTGATCTGAATATGCTTACATCTTTATAACTTGCATCTCAACAAAATATAAACTGTTCTCTTCCAATAGTTCAACATCAAGCAGATAGTGAGAGATCTGAGAGATCAGCGTTGTGGCATAATCCAAAGTAAGGTAAGTTCTTAACATACAACTAGATTATGATTTTTAAATGCCTCATTTACTGGTACATATCAACATGCTTAGATAAACTTGGGGCTTAAAGCTTAATTTTTACCCTTTCATTCGAGGAAAGTAACAGCCTTCCAGGCAAGTGGTGTGTAGATTTTAATATGAAAGATATGTCTCTTATTATTGAAATAAAAGCAAAGTACCATTATAGCACAGACACCAGCCCTGCTCCCCTTTTATTTATGTTTTTGTGTTTGTTTTTTTAAACAAAAAGAAAAGCAGACATCAACAGCAAAACTGGTGACATATCATAAACTGTAGCCTGCAAAATTGCAGCCTTCAGTTGAATTCTTGCTATTGATGAGTTATCGTTACCCCAATAAACCCTTCTACTGCTGAATTAAAACTAACCCTGAAAAGAGTTTTCACACAGGAAAAACACAAGATGTGGCTAACTAAATTTAGAGCAAACAGGTCATGGGAAGAAAAGCAAGAAAAGACTAGAATAAGTTCTTCCTATAGGCAAGTATTTTAGCACATGCTTTGATACATGTTTCTTCAGGGTAATGACTGAGCCTGAGATTAAAATTAAGCAATACTTAACGTTCACTGACCTAAATGAGACTTAAGTAGGTGCTTACAGGTGCTGCATTAAATAAGAAAGTGTTCCTGAACTTTTAAGTGATGGAACAAAAAGAACAGGGTTGCTCTTAAATATCTTAGTTTTTGTACCTGTATTACAAAGATGCTGATGTTATAAACACTTCAGCCAGTCCATCCTTTGTCTGGAATTTATGTTGAATGTAAACAGGTGTTTCCTATTCGTGTCTCTGTGTGCAGGATGAGTATTTATTCTGTTATGAAGTAGTGCTGGAAGTTCTTCAGAACCTTCAAGCAACAGATTCCCTCTGACTGCAATATGAGTCTTCCCTGTTGCCATTTCCCTTGGACTCCAGGGACCAGTCAGAAAGTGCATTAAACAGATGTCAAGCCAGCACAGACAAGTGTTGCATTACATGCTTTGTTAGATTACTGTGATTTCTAACGTATTTCAAACCCTTGCTTAATATGTCCTGTGTAAGTAATTTAAATCTTGACTCACAGTGTGGAGAAAAAGCAAGCTAGTAATGGAACAGTGCTGGACATTTTGCATGTTGTGCATAATAACATATTCATTGTTATGAAATGATTTTGGAATTGTGGCAAGGAGATAGCAGCCTTTGAAATTTACTTTACTAAGTGTGGTATAAGATCAATTATCCCTTACATATTGTTGTGCACTAATTGTTTCTGGACTGTAAATCAGTATTTTATTTTAGTTATGCTTTTGTGTGGAAGGACTCAATTTGTTTACCTTTGATTGCCTGAATGAGGTGGAACCATTTCTAGTAATCATGCCAGCCCAGGAATTTATACCACCATCACTAGACATCTTAAATCAAGAAACTGACAGAAAAATAGGATGCCTTTAAACCCTAGTTGGTTCTCTTCAAAGCAGGAAGAACATTCTAATAACTGGATGGAATTTTAATTTTCCCCAGCAATATGGACATCTGTAGACAGCATCAGTATTCTTTCATTTTGTTTTGATGTAAAAAGGAATGCAAATACTAAGCCAGATGAAATGCCTGTGAGTGTATTTTGGAATGCATATACACTTCATTTCCCCCTGATCCTTCCCACTGATTAACTGTCTTGTCATTCTTATGTAGCATCTGAACCAATCTAGGTGAAGTCCCACTGGTTTCAGGTGGGGCTGAATAAGATCTTTAAATTAAATAAGTCTCTGTACAGCTTATTTCTCTTGTAAAAACTGTCTCAGTGTGAGTTCCAGTGCATTTGAGCAGAAATCTGTTGTTCAAGTTTGTAAGACTACTTGTTTCTATAGTACTGCTTCTAAATCCTTTATCTAGGTGATATATATGGGAATCAAGTATATATGTGCACTGGAAGAGTAACTTCTAAACATAGAAAAACAGTTATTTAACTCAATTGTACATATTTTTAAAACTTCTTTGATTTCTGGAAGGGAGAAAATATTAAGAAGCATCTGAATATAAAACTGCAGTAGAAACAAGACAATAAGATAGCTGCTTATTTTAATTACAAATGGGAGGTTTACCATTCAGAAAGAAAGAAGGATTGAATACAAATTAAAAGCATAACTTTTAGAAAAAGTCACTGTAATACAATTATAATTGAGGCCAAGGGCCATGTTTTTTCTTTCTGCTCTCAGACAGTTTGACAGAAGTCAGGAAAAGATAGAAATTAAACTTAGGAGCTGAGCCAGATGCAAATCTCAAACATATTGACAGAGATCTAGAGAAATGCTAAATTAGTGGAGTAACCCTGTACTTACATTGGTACAAACATAAACAGAATTCAATGTTTTGTCTTAAATTCATTGAATTTGAGCCTTCCCAAAAGTGTTACTCTCCATACAGTCTGCATTTACTATCTTTATGTTACATATAAAGGACTATTGGCACAGTTTTGTCAAGTGTCATCATCAAATTTTTGTTCATAACTTTGTTACTTTTGTTTGGTACTTGGCCTTTCACTTTGATTTTAGTTATTGAACATGTACTACTATGCAATGAATGCACTACACTACACATGAATGCACAATTCACTTTTTATACCACAAGTTTAAAAAGCTTCCCAGTGAAAATATTCCTGTACTTTATGCAAAGTGTTTTTTCTGTAGTTTAGAACAAACACTCTGGATTTAGAAAACAAACTTCGTAACATGTCTTGTTCCTCCACATTTATGCATCATCTTTGCAGCTGTTCAACCAAAGTGTTTGCTGTTTGACTTAAGTTTTTCCTGTTTTACAGGGATATTAAAAAAATAAATAAAAACACCAAACTGAGTTTAATTTCAATTGTTTTTTTATGAAAAAGCAGCTGTAATAACTAACTTCTAATCAGTAAGAGCTCTAGCAAAAATAACCTTTCATTATTGGAGTCATATTTAAACTTCCTTTACAGGCAGATTTCCTACATTTTCCTACAGCAGGTATTACTGACCTCTGGGACATTCTGTCATGTCCCATATTCTTATCATTTAGGAATATAATAATTAAATGCTTTAAAACTGATACTGTTGTTATAATCCCCATAGTGACATCCTCACTCAGAGTGAACTTTGTTTTGGACGAGACATACACTTTTACCCAGATCTAGTCCTCTAAGACTGCCTGCAGAGTAAGACAAAACAAAACTGTCTTTTGCAATCTGCTGTATAACAAAGAAACTTTCACCTACAGAAAATTTCAGAGCCTCTGAAACCAACTTTGAGAAGAGACAGATAGATGCAACTTACCACATGCTGGGTGACAGGCCCTCCATCTGTCACAGTCCCAGCGTGATCCTGCAAAGCAAGTCTTTCAATCCACAGCCTAAAAATGCTTTAAGAAAATTACAGACTTGCAGGGGTACTGCACATGTTTGAAGTGAAAGGCTGGTCATCTCAGTACCAGTACTGCTCATGAGCTCACTGTTGATGACATCCTAGACAGTGGATACATTTTGAGGAGGGAAGAACTGAAATGATAGACACAGCTGCTTCCTACAATAGACACCATGTTTTGAAAAATGAACAACGAATCAGCACTATAAAGTGCTTAGCAGATGTAGCTGCTGTATATGCTCTCTTGGAGATGCTAAGGATCCATCTGTTCTCAGCTTCTATTTATAAAGGTAGGATACAGGGATTCAACTTAGAGGTTTGCTGCAGACTTCCTGAATAAGTTAGAGGACTGTTAAAAAGCATTTTGGTACAGGGGAATCTGGCTACATCCAGCAGCTCATACATCATTTCCACCTATACATTGAACCAATGAGAGTCCAACTTCTGTGTTCTTTATTCATGCAAAACTCCCATGGAGATCAAGACTCATTGATACACAATCAGTTGGAACAGATAACCCACTCCTTAAAGAGCTCACAAGTAAGCCTAAATTGGAAAGAAAGGAAGATCTGCTGTCCCATTTCAGTCATAGGAAAGCGAGGTAGGAGTTGCTTCAAGGTCTACAGCATTTTTGGAAAACCTGGGAACTAAACCCAGATGACATAAGCTCTGATTTTTTGTCTACACAGAAGAGTATCTTTCCTCAGTCAGAAAATGTGATCATACTGCTCTGGCCCATTTCTGATGAAACATTATTTAGCATACAAAATGGTCTAACTGGTAGTTGCACACATTCTAACATGCAAGATATGTCTTACGGTACAGAACATCCGTCTGCACCTGTGGTCACACTGCTTCAGAAGTGGCACTGAGATAACTATTTGTATTTCTCAGTCATCTTATTCTACCACCTAGTCACCTATCAGGACAAGCTACAGTACAAATGCACAAGAAGGACACATTAATTGGAGGCAGTGCCTGCCACAGCAAGCACTCAAAGCAAGTAAACATCTGCTAGTCCTCAGATTCATACTGTAGCACAAAACCTTGTCAGTGACACCCTATGCTCAGATGGTAGCTTTGGCCAAGGAACAGCACATCTTGTCATCTTACTCTGAGAAAGTGACAATTTTACTGCCATTGAGACTGCTGCTACGTTTTTTATGTCTACCGTTTTATCTAAATTTAAAAGCAAGCATCACAAGGGCAATAATCTCAGAGCTATTAAGTTACCAAATCATTTGAGTAGGGGGAAATACATCTTAATTGGGTCCCATGGGCTCAGGACTGCTTTAAACTGATGACTTTGTGTACTGGAATACCCCATCAGCAATGGCAATGAACCTTAAAATATCCCCGCGTGCCAAAATAGGTGTTAGTTGCTACAAGAACATAGTCAGGTTTGAATAACTCACTTTGAAAAATGATGGAACAAAAATAACAAGAATTCTCTTAAATATCTATTCTAGATTTACCACTAGCACTAAAATAATCAGGCTTTTCTTAGAAAGCCTGCAAGATGAGTCAGTAACGTTTCTCTAGCTATCTTTTCTGACGCAGTCTTTTGGCCTTATAGAACAACACGACTTTCTGTGGTGGAACAAATACAGTAAATGCAAAATCCGCTAGTATTGCAAAAGAACAGCAAATACTGCCATCTACGGGCAAATCGCTACTGCGACAGCATTAATCACATTTAGTCACCAGTGCCGTTGGCACAGAATCACTCCACGAATTTTTGCTGAGGTTCAGTCAAAAGTGTTAACCAAGTCGAGCTTGACAGGATGCAGCACTCTCGCTCCAGACTGGCAAGTGCTTGCCAGGCCAGGCAGGTGTTGCATGCTTGAGACAACTGTGTAGCTGTACTGCCACTGGTCCTACAGTTCATAAAATAATGATAATAAAATATTCAGCCTGTCTCAGAAAAGGATATCTAGAAATCTAATAGCATCTGTCCACATCTGAGAAGAGCACAACTTATGAATAAACTTGCTCTTGACCCTAAAGCAGGAATGTTTTTGGAAGAAAGCACTTTCTTCATTTACTGAAAATCATGAGTAATGGGAAATCTTCCTGGAGTTCTACAAGAACTGGTTTTATGAAATATTGTAAGCAGCTCAATCTAATTTGGTTTGGTATATTTAGTGTAACATAATCCCCGTAAACAGGTTTCTTTTGTCAAGTATGTTGCAAATTCATCTGCAGAATAAGAACTGGAGATAGTCTTACATATTTCAGTGTAACGATACCAGTCTTTCCACATCCATGTAACAGTTAATCTGAGTTGCCCCGACCCTGTGCTGTACTGTGTTGTACATAGAGCTTAGCCTTTGTGCCTGTGTTGTGCTGTGAATATCTCTCAAGCTGCAAAATAAAGGCAGCCAGCTAATTGTAACAGAGAGCCTGTAGGCAGCTCCCACTTGCTACCAGCAGTTATGCCACCTGTGAGTTTTTGCCTTTACCTAAAAGTGCAGCAAGAAGTTCTAATGTGAACATCATT